ATAAAATATTCAAAACTAATCTAAAAAATTTCATGTGATAATTAATGTGCTTATCGTATGTAACTATGTACTATGTACTATGTATAAACTATAAATTGATATCCTCGGTCAAGGATTTTTTAACTTTGAGTCTATGAATAGAACACATAAAGGTTGAACATACAAAAAGAGTTAGAATAGTTTAATTTTTCTTCAAATGTTTATTATTATTATTATTATTATTATTATTATTATTATCCTTGATCAAACTTTATAAAGTCAATATAAATAAATTTACTCCGTACATCTTATTATAAATTTATAATTATTGTCTCTGTTTCTCAAAAATTTTAACTTTAATATTTGGCACTATCACACAAATTTTTTTGATGTATGCCAAAAAAATTAAAAAATTTTAATTTTCTCATAGTATTCAATCATGTGGGGTCTTATTAATATATTCATATCATTATAAATCTTTGGTATATATCAACATATTTTACTTTTTTACATTGGCAAATTTAAAAAGTTTTATAACTTAAAAAAAAAGTTAGTACTCCGTGTTTGATAAAGTTGGTATATAATGATCATTATACCTTTGCTAACTAACTTTTGATAGTTGGAACCATTCCTTAGACAACAAAGTATTTCTATTAGAAAATGGCAATAAGGCAAATAAATTTATTAAAAATAATACGATGATAATTCGTTTTGAATGTTATATCCCATACAATATTACAAAGTACATACATTTGCCTAAACCCTAAAGCAACTAAAGCAAGGAAGACTCATCATTAACAATTGACAATAATTACATAAATTAGTACTAATATTTGGTAACCATCAACTCGTCATGTGCAAGAATTTTAAATCCTATATTAAAGTACTAAATTGCTTTGGTTGATTGATCTACAATTATTCAATTCTTGACCACATTTTTTTTTTGGTTGTAATCAATCCATGTTTATATAATACTTGTATATGTTCTGAAATTGGTATAAGTCACATCTTCTAACGTAATTAAGCTTAGCAAATGAATGGTTGCTTACGCACATGATAATCTAATAATGTAACGACCAACGTCCGTTGACATATAATGGTTTGTTATGAGTAATAATGTAGGAAGGCTCACATATAATGTCACCCAATATAATGTTAATATACATAATATTAAAACGATTTAAATAAGTTTACGTGATTATTGAAGCTTATTTGCTATAATTTATATAGTTTTTTTTTTTAAAAAAAAAATATAAATATTTACGTTAGATCAGATCAACTAAGGACCTGTTCACATTTACTTAATTTCAGTTCAGCTTCAATCAGTTCAGTTCAGTTCATCTCCTAATTTCCCTCTCTCATAAAATATTCATTTCAGCTCAGTTCGGTTTGGCTCCAATCAGTTCAGTTCAGTTCAGTTCAGCTCAGCTTCAGTCAGTTCAGTTCAATTCAATTCAGCTCAATTTAATAAATGTGAACGGACCCTAAATAAAAATGTAACGGTGTAAGACTCTTCTCCTCTCCTCTCGTAATAATAAAAGATAAACTTGGGATTGTATTCCAAGATTTCCTGCTTGAATACAGTAGTTGATTATGTACAAAACAACATGTACACATGGTGCAGGCTAACTTTGGTCCCCTTTCATTTCATATTTTTTTTTACAAAAAAAATTCCCTCTTGTTTTCAAGTCTTTTTGTGGTCGCTCAAGTCCTAATATCTATGAAAAAATCAAGCTAGGTGCTAAAAGCCTAAAATTCATTTTTATATATGCTTTTATGGCTTAAATAAATACTTGTATTGTATAGTAACATATGGACTAGAAATTAAAATTGAAATAAAATAAGATATTTTATATGCTTTCTGCCACTAGCATAGGGAAGCAAAACAAATGGGTCAATAAATTGAACTAATCCATCTTTAGGGGATCAGTTTTGAGTGGTTAGGTTCCAATTCCCTCCCAATTATTATTGCGGAAGATCAAATACGGACTCTCTCTATCAAGTGTAGTCTCAATCACCACTACACCAATAGTAAATTGGTAATAAAAAATCTCGCATAATTGCCTTAATTTATTTCATTCACAAAAACTCATATACATATGAAAAAGAATTTGATAAAGTTGCATTGAATTATACTCCGTATATTACTTGTTAGATGTGTAGTATAGATGCCAACTAACTTATTTGGTAAAGTCCTAATTATAATATAACCCTCTGCACGGAAGATTTTTTTTTTTTAAAAAAAAAAAGCTCAACTAAAATACTATTAGAAATCAAATTTGATTAAAAGTCTTAACATCATTATTCATTAGAATCACTGTATCGTATGTTCAATGAAGTACTCATGATTAAGGATTTACATAGTGAATACTGAATAGTGATGGTGAAGAAAACGCAATCATGTTGTAGTTGTCCCGTCATCTCTTTCTTTTCTTCTTTAATTTTTTCTAGTAAGAATTAACACGATCATTAATTAAATATTCCGTACAATTTATGAAAAGCGACAATTTTCCCCAAACTTCCTTCAAAAGTTCAAAGTACTTACTATAACACTCCTAAATCCTAATCCAATTTTAAAAAAAAAAAAAAAACCTTCTAGAAAAACATTGTACACCCAAATTAAAAAAAACGAGTATAAAATGTGAAACAAGAAATTAATAACGTAGATTCATTAGTAAACCCAAATAATTCAGAGCAGCCACATATACAAGACATTCCGGTCCAAGTCAACTAGCCGCCTACTAATACAATTCGTTCGAGCCACCAGTCAAATATCTTACACTACTAGAAAACATAAATAAATAACCTTAATTAAATAATTAAAATAAAAAGAGGTAAATATAATAAAAACTATAAATATAAATAAATAGATCGTCTAAAAAATTTGTAAACACAAAAATATTCAACGCGTTCCTTCTACCCTACTCTCCTCTCATAAAAAGGAAATTCCAGATTCAATTTACTGCTCCCTAAAAAACTTATATATATACACCTTACCATCATAAACGCTTCATAATTTATTTTCATTCATTCTTTTGCCCCAAACAAAGAATTTTATTCTTCCCAAATCTTACTATTACATTTTCATACAAAAATTAAAACTTTGGAATATATCAATATGTATTCTAACGGATCATCAATGAAGTTTTACGCATTGCCTATTTTTGGGTTTTTGATGATGGCCTTTTTTAAGGTTACTCAAGGCCAGATGATGGCTCCTTCCCCTGTTACCGCTCCTCCTCCTGCCAACGACAGTAAGTCCCTTCTCTCTCTTTTCAATTCGACTCGAATCCGAACTCAACCCGGTCTAATTGGGTGGTGCTTTATTTTATTTTAATTAATTTTAGATGACGAGTGCTAAAGATAAAATTTTGGTTTATGTAGCCGGCCCTATTATTGGAATTAAGTTTTCGAGTTTGTTGGTGTTATTTTTATTTATTGGGGGATATATCTTTTTGTGCAGGTGCTACTATTGATCAAGGGATTGCATATGTTTTATTGGCGGTTGCGCTGGCTGTTACTTACCTCTTTCACTAATTTATTAAGGGTGATTTAGGACTTTATTATGAGGAATTATAGGTGATAATATTAGAATTTTGATTAATTAATTTGATATATATATATATATATATATATATATATATATATATATATATATATATATATATATATATATATATATATATATAGTTTGATCAATTCTTTAGCTACTTTTTTATTTTTCTCCCAGGATATCCAAGGGTGAAGAAAAAATTGTAGTGTTTTTTGTATTCTTTATTATGGTACGGAGTACTAGTAAATAAATAAAATTACAGTTTCTGTTTTTTCATGAATTCCATTTGGCATTTGTTATAAGTGGTAGTAGAACATACCATACCTTTTTTTTTTTCTTTTTTTTCTTTTTTAATTTTAACCAAATTTACTATTTACAACTTGTGTGTTACGCGGGCTAAAATGCTAGTTAATAGTAAAATCGACAATTTCATAGTGATTATATTCGCTTTCACACATCACACTCGTCGTAGTTGGTATATGATCAGCATTTCTAGAATACAGTATGTTCAATTCCAAAATTGATTGGATTATAGTTATAACTTTGCAAATTGGAAGAGTAGTCGCTAGGAAGTAACTGTCAATTGGAAAGCCCACGTTTTTCCAACGACTAGTAAGCGAATTAGCGAACGTTATATTGGTGTCATCCAACCAGGACTGACAGCTGATATGCTATTAGCGAATAGTATCAAATCTTGTGTAATTATATCGATTTATTTGGGAATATGATAGAATTCAGGGGGGAAAAATTGGGGTTTAAAGGTTGTAAATGTGCATTAATAATGTCATTATAAATCAATTTGACATAAAAATTTGCATTAGTTTTACTTAAAGACCTTGAGCTATCAAATTGAGTGTGGGTTGAGTTTGTTTTTTTTTTTTTAAAGACATTGAGTTTGTTTTAGGTCATGTCGTATTGTAACGGATTTGGCCCGTGTAATGTTTTGGGTTTAGGTCACTTCAAATCCTATTGGGTTGTTTATGGGTTAGATTATATCAAATTGGTTTTTTACTTTTTTACAAGTCTAGTTTAATGATGTACGCAGTATAAGATATGAAAATATTGCCTACATTTCACTAAAAAAAAAGAATGCAGCGTTTTATTTAATGAGGCCATACAAGGTGAACTGGTGAAGTATTGCAAAGCTGCAAAGGTAATTTCTTGTAGTGAAGAACTTGGGCCTCAAATGTTCTCGTGGGCTGGGCTAAACTTTCTCCTTTTAATGTTCTAAAGTTAGCTCAGACTGCTCAGTTCCAACTTAGAACATCACAATTAAATCGGACCAATTCTTTGTAACTATGTTTGCCAAATTAAAATCATAAACATGGATATATATAATATATTGCCACTAATTTAACTGAAGATGTCACATATTCATGCTTTCTGTACGTATACATAAATACATAACCGAATGTAGTCAAAGATTAGTCGGTAAATACTAAAAAATATGAAACCAGTACACATCAAATGCCATAAAAATCACTAACACATTAGTATATTTTTATTTATAAGCAACAAAATATATCACATAATTAATTCACCAGTAAAGATAGGAACTACATTACTGTCTAAAACCTGAATATTTATAAGGGATAGGAATTACATGGAGATCATTTTTCCTTCTCACAGTAATTCCAAACAATTCATTCATGTCTAAATTTTCAGACTTAATTCCATTAGGTAACTTCCAATCAAAATGGTAGAGCAACATAGCTAGAGGAAGCTCAATATTCGCGATACCTAGTGTCACACCAGGGCACATCCTCCTTCCTGCACCAAATGGGATGAATTCAAAATTGTTACCTTTATAATTTATGTGAGACGTCTCAAATCTTTCAGGTTTAAATGTATCGGCATCTTGCCAATACTTCGGATCTCTCCCTATGGCTCGTGCATTCACCATGACTCGAGTTTTAGGAGGTATATCATAGCTACAAATTTGGCAATGCTCAATAGATTCTCTTGGGATTAAGACAGGTGCAGGAGGGTGCAGTCTTAATGTTTCTTTTATTACCGACTTCAAAAACTTCAGTTCATCTAGGCTTGTCTCATCAATTGTTTCTTTCCCTTGGTAAACTTCCCTAACTTCATTTTGTGCTTTTTCCATTGCCTTTGGGTTCTTTATCAACTCGGACATGATCCATTCTATTGTTGTTGAAGATGTTTCAGTGCCAGCACTAAAAATTTCCTAAACAAAAATATTCATCATTTCATAAATAATTATAATCACTTTTTTCAAGAAGATAGTAATACAGGACTCGCGGAAAAGCTATAATGTAACAAAAATTAAGAGTCAAAGTTCAATTTAGAACACATAAAATAACTATTTTAGTCACACTTTTTAAAAAGTGATTAATCATGCTACATAAAAGTAATTCTTGAGATTTCTAACATGACTTACCAAGATTATTCCTTTGATGTTGTTGTTGGTCAAGGAGAAATCGTTATTGTTAGGATCCTCTTTATGAAACTTCAAAAGAACATCTACTAAATCCTCTTGATCAACTTTGCCTTGTATCATGTTAGACTTGTGTTCTTGAATTATGGGATCGAGTATTCTATTTGATTCATCAACTATCTTTTTCACTGATTTCTTCAACCCACCAATTGAATGCAGCAACTTGATGGACGGGTAAAGGTCAGCAATTGAGAAACCAGATAAAAGCTTTGACATTAGTGTTATTAATGCTCTAAATGCTTCTTGATCTTTCCCTTTCTTGTTTAAAGCCGTCCTGTCAAACAAATTTTAAGTAGCCATAGTTGTAACTTAGGACTTGCTTGCAATATTAAATAATTCCTACCTACTAGCTTAACCAGTTTAATTGGCCAAGTAAAGCTAATTTGCTTGGAAAAAAAAACTTTCTAAAATAGAACAAATTAGAATAAATAAAAAGAAATTTATCAACTTAAATTAAGGAGATGTGGTCCATTATTTAAATAGTAAGCTATTGGCTAATCATTGGAGCTAAAATGACAATTAACTTACAAGCTTATGTGGCATGGCAACAATTAGCTATCGTTGGAGTTGCTCTTAGAAGTTGGTAATTAATTAAGTAATTATTGATTATTTAGGGACAAGGGTAAAGTAATGTTACCAAAATTACGGAGTAGTAGTGAAACTACTCCGCCTTTTTATTTAAGAATAACTACTTGAATAACTATCACATGACACGTCAAAAATCAATCAAAAAGTTATTTAAAACATTAATTATCTAAAAGAGTTCATTATTTTTATTTTATTTTTTTGAGAAAAGCCACCTGAGGCATAATATTAATTAAAGAACAAAGAGTTCAAGAGTACATAAGGAGAAACTCCATAGGACAATGATTGATCCACACTTGTTCAACACCAAACAATGACACTACTTTAGCAAGATGGTGCACATATAATTGAATCAATTTTGACTTTTTATTGTTAGGACCTAAACTTTACAAGATGTATGTATCAAAATATAATCATTTGTATTATGCACATTTTATTTGTACAAACCAAGAACAAAACTAAAAGAACAATTATTAACACGGTAAAGGTGAGCAACATACCTAGATGTAATATCAAACATAACGCCAAAAACCCTTTCACTAAGATTAACCGAGCACCCTTGAGCTGCCCTCTCGGCAATAGACTCCACAAACATGGTAGCCTCCTCTTCTCTAATGGCTCGAAACGACTGCACCCTTCGAACCGTAAGCAGTTCGAGGGTTGCAAGCTTACGAACTTGCCTCCAATACTCATCGTACGGGGCAAGTCCAATATCAGAGTAATCATAGAACACGTCCTTAGCCACAATAAGCTTAGGCCGGTTAGCGAAGTTGGCGTCATGGGCTCGCATCACCACTTTTGCCACGTCAGCGGAGGAGATGATCACGGTGGAAACTTCCCCTAGTCGAAGGTGCATGATAGGACCGTGCACCCTAGCTAGGTCTTGTAGAAGGTGGTGTGGTGGGGTTTTATATGATGCGAGTTGGTGTATGTTTCCTATGATGGGTAGCTTTGGAGGTCCTGGTGGAAATTTTAGTTTATTATTTAAGGGTTTTAATGATTTTAGGATGAGAAAAATGGGGATTGAAAGGAAAAATATGAGTGAAATTAGCCATGAAATCTCCATAGTTTTAGTAGTTCTACCGAATGAAAAAATGTATTTGATCTCAATTTTTGTAGATTGGGATTAAATCGCACGTTTAGATGCTAAAGTGGTTTCCCCTAAAAAAAAAATAAAAAAAAAATAAATGCTAAAGTGGTTACTGGTCAAATAAATACATCATTATCCTTATCATTGCATTTTTCAAGGAAAGTCAAACAACTACAGTAGTACCTACATTTAAATAATGCTCACCTAGTCACCTCCATTTTCCAAATTCCAATAATACAAAGTTTGTACAGTATGTCAGTATATGCGGTTCCTATGCAAAATAAGGCTAAGTCAATAAAAGTTAAGGTAATTCAACTGAGCTGAACTGAATTTATTGGAGGATTTTAAACTGAACTGAACTAAATTGAATATTTTATTAGAGAAGAAAATTAAGAATTAAACTGAACTGAAAATAAGCTGAAGAAAATAGACCCTTAGTTCATTTTAAATTAGTTATTTCATTGTCCTAACTTTTAATCCAATTAATAAAGAAATGTATTCATTTTAAATTAGTTGTTACATTGTCTTACATAATGATCCAAATGTTCACCAACTAAAAAAATCTAGCATAAATTACTATATATGTATTACTCCCTCCGTTTTAAAATACTTGCTCCACTTTTCTTTATCGGCCATTTTTAAGTATTTGCTCCATTTTCTTATTTGGAATGTTTTCACAATATTTAATTCATTTCTCTTATTTAGTGGATCCAACATAAATTATATTTTATTAATTTTAAATTTTCTCTTCTCCAATTCTCCACCATACTTTTGTTTTTTTTATAATTTTTTATTCTTCCACCTACCCCACTACCTCTATATTTTATTATTTTCTCCAATTTCTTCTAAAGATCCGTGAATGGAGAAATGAAGCAAATATTTAAAAATAAGGTAGTAGTATATTACTTCCTACTCCCTCCTTTTTAAATATTTGCTCCACTTTTCTTTTCCGACCGTTTTTAAACACTTGCTCCATTTCCCTTTTTGGAAAGCTTTATAATATTTAATTCATTTTTCACACTTGGTGGACCTAACATAAAACTTTCTCTACTCCTATTCTTCCACTACTTTTGTTTTTTACAATTTTTTATTTTCTTAACTACCCCACTACTTTCATGTTTTATTACTTTCTCCAATTTTTCCTAAAACTCCACGCATGAAAATGGAGCAAATATTTAAAAACGGAAGGAGTACAGGTGAAGATGTCATTCAGTTCTATGTTTGTGTCTGTAGAAAAAAGGGAGAAAGAGACACGAGTTTCTTAAGAATTATACTTCGTAGAAGAGAATAATAGTGCCAAATTGCTAACATGCCAAGGGTGTCATAAACTCATATGCGTCATAGCTCATAACCGACTCATAACTGAAGAAGTTGGTAATTGGTAGCACAGGTAGTGTTACAATCTCTATGAGGAGCCCATCATTAGTTGTAGTTCGTACTATAAAGAAGAAGCCCAAATTTCACTTGTTGAGCCCAAGTAACAACCACTTTATTTGTGCCTGACTGCCTGATACCAACCTTTTCTTTTCACTTTATCATTTTTTTAAAATGTATTTATTGTGTGGTACTATATGGTATCAGCATTCAGCAGTGAATGATTATGGAGTATTGGAGTATTTAATCATTAATCATAATATCCATGAAAAAAGAGATATTGCTTACAGTGCCTTTAATCTAGCTAGCACATGAGTATAATCCCAAGTAGGCAAGTACTTAGATTTGATGGATATTTTCTTTTTTTCAGTAGATACTCAAAGAGATTAAGGGTCCTACAGGTCCGGAACTCACTACATGTAAACTCTACCCATATTTAGTGTTGCTCACTGATCCAATTTGAAATCAGGTCAAGAACAAAAATTTATCATTCAAGGACAAGAGACCGGGCTAGTAAAGTCAGTCCAAACCCCGACCCTGATCGAATGGTCTTATATTCTACTTTTTAAAAGTATTTATTATTACTTTGTTAAAAAGTATATTGTAATACATATTTAATGCTTTTTTTTTTGTCCAAAAATACAAATTAATACTTTGCCAAAACAATGATACAAATTAGAGATTAAAAAATTGAAAATCTCATCCCATAATTTGATTTTACTCGCATTATTATATCATGAATATATAATACTTTGTACTCTATAGTAAATATTAGTTTAATTCGTCAAAAAAATTTTACTTAAATAAAAATCTGACCCGTATTTAAGTTCAACAAATGTAGCAAAAGTTCACTGAAGAAGACATTGGATTCTTGTGTCCTCAATTCTTCATTGCCTAAGTCCTAACTTTAAAATCATTCATACCCTATTCCAAACTTTTTCTCGAGCCACAATTCACTAAGATTTTTTAACCCAAAATAAAATCCTAGAGTTTAGCCAAAGGAATCTGCTTGTGTGGAAAGAAAGCAAGCTCAAGAAAAGTTGGTTATTGTCAACTTTAATCTTCATTTCTTAATATCTTTTGTCAAACTCTAATCCTTTGGAAAACATCCTAATTCTGCCTAATCTGACGTGCCCAATTCCCTAAGTCACGTGAATAATCATGTGGATTATGATTTAATATACGTACTAGTATTAGCTTAGGATCCAAAAATTGCGCCATTTCGTCTGACCATACCTGTATCTTTTATTCTTTTGGCCCTAATAATGGTGGTCTGTGGTTGCCATTTTTATTCACATTAGTATTAATTAATCACATATATACTTTAATGTCTTAACCTGATTCAGTGGGCTTATTGTTTGGTGAGCCGGGATTTCAAAGATAGAGTAGTATCGATATTATGGTCATGAGATGTAAAGGGACTGCAAATTAATCCATACAAATATGCTCGTAATTATGAGATATAGATACATGACATAGCAAATTCTTCTTTAACAAATTGTCAACTAATATTTCATGCACCTTAATAGTTTTGTCTCTACCACTTTAGTTAAATTAAAGTTTTATTTTTTGTACTGTTAGTTGTTACTTGTATATATTTATATGGTCTCAATATTCTTAATCATTATATTGGTTAGTTGCAGTCTAGTCTAGTACCTAAATTGTTCCATTTTCTTCTAATTAATGAGTTAGTGGTTGTGCTAATTAATTAAGTATAGTAACTGTCTAATTATTTAATAAAAACTGAATCTTAATTGATTTTATGCTGTTATAATTTGATTATGTCAGTAACATGGATGGAGCAACACTCCAAGTCATCCCATGAGTCAAGTGCTCTAGTGGGGGGTTAGAAAACATTGTCTAGTAGTTGAGTCTCTTATGATATGATGGTGACATGCCTTTCCTACAAGATAGAAAGATAGGAGAGAATCAACCATTTTAATAATAAAGTTATAGTAATGTATCCAAGTTTATATCACTTTTAAGAATTGACATCCTCTATTCTTTGAATAATTCTATAATTTATTTTTCTCATAATATATTTTATAGAATATTCAATTGTGAACTTAACCTTGTTTATTGTATCAAAAATTCAAAATAGATACTTCGTAAGTAAGTGAATTAACATCATTTAAGACTGTTTTATTTACACTTATTTTTCTTTGTAGCATATATTTTCAAATTATGAATAAAACAAATAAAAAAGGGAGAAAACATTTAGGGGTTGTTTGGTTCACAGAAGAGAATCGGAATGAAATGAACAACGTGAATGAAATGGAATGGAATGGCAAAGTGGAAAATTTGGAAGGTTGTTTGTTACAAAAACCAGGGAATCATTCCCTCCACCACAGCACCACCACCACAGCGCAGCTCCGACCGCCGCCGAACCCTCACAGAACTCCGCCAACCGTCGCCGACCCATCCCCGACCGTTGCCGACCATCCAGCCCCCATCGCCGACCGTCGAACTCCCTCCCCGATGCTCCAGCCCCCCTCCCCGATGCTCGAACTCCCTCGCCGACAGTCGCGCCCCCCTCGCCGACGGTCGCTGACCCCTCGCCGACCCTCCAGCCCCCCTCGCCGACGGTCGCTGACCACCACCGACCACAGCACCACCTCGAACTCCCTCCCCGATGCTCCAGCCCCCCTCCCCAACGCTCGATCTCCCTCCTCCACCACAACACCACATCGCCGACCACTCCCCGGTGCTCGCCGACAGTCGCCGTCCGACCACCACCGACGTATATGGGTGTTAGTGTTAGGGTTAGGGTTAGGGTTAGGGTGGGTGGGGAATGGAATGGGAAAGTGGGGGGGGGGTGGGGAATGGGGAAGAGGGGTTTTGGGGTATTTTGAAAAATGAAATGGGGGAATGATTGAGGGAAAAAGTGGCAAACAAACAGGTTGAAAGGGAATGATTCCCATTCCCTTTCCTGAAACCAGCGAACCAAACGCACCCTTATTATGTATAGCTTAATGTCATGTTTGATTGGATCATTGGATGTTAGTTAGCAATAATCGAGTTGGAATTCTATAACCATATCTTCCATGCATGTCAAAGTACTTTTATGCTAAAAAAAATAGTTGATGTACGTTAGTAATTATTAGATGTGGCCCTTAAGAAAGTTGTTAGTTGTTGATTATGAGTAGATGTTAGAAAATAGAGATGGTTGGCAATTAACAAAGTGGTTGTTGAATTTAAGTATTCAACACATATTAATTGCATAAGCATTAGGATAAACATAAAATGATGGTTGCTTTGAGCTAAATTATCTAGTTTTGTTACAAATTACTTTAAAAAATTAGTTTTGTTAACTTTCAAAAAAAATTACTCCATCCGCTACTTTTTCAAACACTTGTATGTGAACAATTTATCAAAAAAGTTCATGTAAGTCAAGTATTTATTGACATGTACTGTAGTATAAAATCATTTACGGAATATTTACATATACGCCTCCCCATTTTCCTATATAAGTCAAGTCTCACTATTATAGTCGCCTCCTAATTCCCCCTTTTCCTTCTCCAATCTACACCTTCTTCCATTTCCAAAATTACACTACATTCTCTCTCCTCTAATATACCCCCCATTAATTTGTAATTCCATCAATCCAAACAATAATGGAAATGAGAAACATCTGCTGTTCCACAAGCAGCGTAGAAGTCATACAACTGGGTCGCACAACAAATCTAGACCGTCCATTAACAAGGCGCAGCAACAACAACAGATCAACGTCGTGGAGAACACTATGGAGGAAGCTTATGAGAGAGAAAAGGAAGATGACAAAAATCGACTGTTGTAAGGTGTACTCTTCTGACGTACACCTCCCCGGGTATGAT